GCTATCTTATATTTATGTATCTTTATTTTATTCATTTTATCTTAATTTTTTTTCCTTTTCTTGTCCGCCTTCTCTTTTTGGCATCAATATCATAGATCGATTCATGTTAGCCGACCCCAAATTATTTTGGGATTAAGGCTTGGATGTTGTTGTTGTTGTTATTGTATTGTGATCCGTAACGGGGCTCACACTACCTAAATGAGACTGGAGATATATACAATAGTGACTGCATACATTTGAATTAGTAAAAAATGCTAACAACTTTAGTACCCGTTTGGGAGTACCAATGCCTTTATCTTTTTATTCATGTATAACATCGTTAAAATAGGTAAACTTTCCAAAATAAGAGGTAAATTTTCCTATGGGAAATTTTCCAAAATAGGAGTAAAAACAACTTGATACGAAGTATTTTAAAGTAGAAGTATCATATTTTTCTCTAAATATGAGTAAATTATTTATATTCTGGAATCATAAAACCATATTTGGATATTATTAGACATTAATATGATTACATTAATGCTATAGATGAGAGTATTTTCACTTGTGGTAGCAATTTCTCCACTTGAGGTAAAAAATATAGTACTCATATTTTGGAACAACACATTGTTTTTACTCATATTTAGAGCGATCCCCCCTAAATGTGAGTGCTATATTTTGTCCGATCCTCCAAACAGGAGTAAAGTACTATTATCATGAAATCATATTTTCATATTATGTTATGGCATTATCAGACATTAATATAACACTATCCATTTGGAAAAAAGTATGGTTCTCCGTGTTTTTACTTCAGTTGAGTCACTTTCTTTTGATCAATTTCCTACCATTTCATACTTGTTGAGAACTATACTTTCTCCACTCTCAATCAGTGGTAGACCTAGAAGTTTTCTGAAGCGGGACACTCCCGCATAGATGAAAATGGGTCGAATCGGGTGCATCATTGGTCTTTTTTGTCAAGTGCATTCAAATTATTATTTTAAATTTGAAATAGATTATTCAATATCGAATTCAAACAATGAACATATATGGATTATAAGTCTAATTTTGAACTCATTAGCACAATTCTAAACAATAATATTTGGTTTTTTGAAAGAAACACATAATTTGGATTAGAATTGATTCATCGTTGTGCCGTTTCTAGTTTTACATTAGAATTCTCGTTATTTTTCATACCATAAAATGATCAAACTTTCATATCTAAACTAGGATCATGTCGAATGCTACACATTGTGCCACAAGATTTGTTGGTACTTGTCTGAAATATAATACTATGGTGTTAAAAATAAAGTATAAATCAAGTTTATGATACCATACAACTTTATTTAATAATATGATTCTATATATCTAACTTCTATCCAGTGACAGACTCAGAGATTTGTGAGAGCAGGGACAAACTAGACATTACACTTAGTATATAATAAAAACTCCAAATGTAATAAAAATGGTAAAAAATGTATTAAATTATACAGAATAGTTAATTACATATTAAATAGTCAACTACTGCAACTTTGGTAAATCAAGCCTACGAGTTTTCATATTCTGAAAATGTTGCATAATAATTTCATTATCAATGCTTCTAAAAACATCTCTCTCGATGTAGCACACCAAGCAATCCGTAAGATAGTCATCTCCCATCTTATTGCGAAGATCTATCTTGATAATATTCATCGCAGAGAAAGCTCTTTCAACGTACGGTGGCTGTTGCAACTAGTAATACTAAAGCCAACTCAATCAGATGATATATCAAGTGAAAAAATTGTGAACTTTAAGCTCAACCATCTTTTTACAAACTTCACCAATAGTTTGTACGACAGAATAATTCATTTGTTCTCATTTCATATATCCACACCTGGAGTTGCTCTTTCAACTCCATTCGATCAACATATGAAAAATCGCATGAATATAACTCCGCTAGATTCAGTAGCATTGACTCACAGAAATTGGAGAACTTATCTCTATGATCAAGATATGCTAAACAAGTGAGTAATTCTGTGTTTGACTCGCTAAAGCGATTCTCCATCTCAAGACTGATCTGATCAATAACCTACAATGAAAACAATAGTAACAATAATAAAGTCAAAACAAAAATAAGTATAATAATAATAATAATTTTGAAGTACCTGGCAAAATATATCAACACGAAAGTGGTGATAATTTTTTATCGGGTGACGAACACGTCTAGAACAATGATTCGTCTCTTCCATGTTAAGAATGCCAATTTTGTTCTTGACACAAAAGCTATTGACATCTTCCAAGAGATCATCCCATCCACTCTCTCAAATCTTGAAATTTAGCTTTAGTGCTTTTAACTAAGCTCACAGCCTCGAGAATATTTTGATCTTTTTGTTGCAAGAAATTAGTATCTTAATTATCAAATATTGGTATGAAGCGAGCACTGATTTTTACCTTAAGTGCTACTAGTGAAATTTCGAACCCGAAGCAGGGCCACTGGGTTTTACAAGTACTATTAGTGAAATTCCGGGCCCGAAGCGAGGGCACGTGCCCCACCTAGCCCCCCTTAGGTCCTCCACTGCTTCTATCACACTATAGATAAAAAAAATCGAAGGGTCTGTCGGTTTGAAACAACTTTATGGTGAATTGACACATTTTTTCATGTATGGACTTTTTATCAAGATAAAAGTTTTCAATCTATTAAGTTCATCCCACATATTAGAATCCTTGTCATATACTATGTATTTGACCTTTAACTTTGGATGAACATTATTCACACTAAGTAAAAAAAAATCATCAATGCCACTTTTCATAGAACATGTAGTAACCATATTAGGATTTGCTCCATCACAACTTTGTGGTTGTTTATATTTCTTACTAGAATTGTTATATGTCTTCGACGGAGTCCTATATATCTAATAGTTTTTTGAAATAATGACAATATGATTGAAATAAAGATAATGGACAAAAATATGACTTAGTAACTACCATAGTAATTTTAGTGACCATGATTGTGTCAACTCTATCAGTATAGTGACTATGCATAATAATTATAGTAATATTTTTGTAATATTTATGAAAAAACTCTAATTCTTTTGTTCTGGTAGCGGGGACACAATTTTTACCTTAAGTACTAATACTAAACTTCAGAGTCGGAAGCGGAGGCACCTGCCCCCCAGGCCCCCCTATGTCCTCCACTCTCTCTACATTGATGTAGTATATTTGGCTTATTAGCAAAGATAGGAGAGGACAAGTCATAATACACTGCACTAACTCACATAGAGTTGACATATTCCAACATAGGTTGCTGATGGAGTATATGGTCCAGGAACCCCCGGTCCACAGACTCCTACTACTCCAATGAAGGCCCAACGGGCCCAGAAAGCACAACAGGCCCAAATCACAGCGTCCAGAGTACCAAACGGCCCACAGTGCACACCAGGAGTGCATTCGGCCCCTGGCCGAAGGCTCCAATTCTCACAGGATGGCCAAATCAGGAAAACAAGGTTACTGGGAGAAAACGGCGAAAATCAGTAGCCCTCGGCACCTAGAGCCCTCGGCACTAAGGGGGTCCCCAGTGCTCAGAGCCCTCGGCTAGTCATCTACAGTCGAGGGCACCTTTTCCGACATAATATCCGCTCCACATGCGTATAGATCACCGTACCAAGTACGACGTCACATCCAACAGCCGCATTAAATGCGGCCACATGCGGTTGCCAGCGCCAACCAGTTGAGGTGACCCCTCGGCCAATGGATGCTTGACACGTGTCCCTGTCTGGCATTTATTGCTACTATAAATAGCACCCCATTTCCCCGTTGTAAACCACGCTGAAAACGCTGAATACATTTTCTAATATACTCTCTCTCTCTACTTACTTGCTCTGACTTCTCTCTAGTTATTCCTCGTAATAACCCCTCGGATAAGCTACCCCTCGGGTACACTATCCATCAGTTGCACTCTCATACACCACACATATATTCATATACTAGCATTAGCCCGCGCGTTGCGCGAGGGTCAATGCCCAATGGTGGAAAATGGGCTGCAAAAAATGAGCAAAAGTAGCGATAAACAAAAACGAATTAGAAATGAATAAGTTGAAGCAACTATTATATTAAAAATCATACTTGAAAAACTCTAAAGCAAAAAACCAAAACAGTGGGAACAAATAGACGAAATGCAATCTCATCCTGCGTAATAATCTCTTGGCAGGTAAATGTCCTTAAGAGGCCCAAACTCCGCCATGAGATCATTGTTTTGGTATCATGTATGTTCCAAGCCAGGATAAAGTAGGAGGGTGCTGTGATAGGCGCATGACGGCCAACAGTATCACTTAGTCACACCACATGACATGAATCGAAATATCGATATCATAGATCGAATCATGTTAGCCGACCCCAAATTCTTTTGGGATTAAGGCCTAGTTGTTGTTGTTTTTGTAGGCCCAAACTGCCCGAGTGGCCTTCGCAGATCTTAAGGCCTGCACCAATCAAATATTAAAACGGAATTGTACATGAGTTCGTGGTGAGAACATGAATTACAAGAACAAAAGTGGAAGTATGCATATGGTTGAATTATAAATAACCAGCTTTATATCCACATTGTTTGGACTGAAATTTCATTGTTCAATAAAATATTGTTAGCTAACCCTCAAAGCAAATAAGACATGTTAGGGGGAAACAAAGGCATCGGTATGTTAGCTAACAATTTCACATGTTAGGGGCAAACAACATGTGCTTTATAGTGTTTTTCACTTTTTCTTCAATTGACTTTTTAATGATCAAAGGCATCTCGTATTTTACTCTCCTAAGGGAGAAACAACATCTCCAGACCCTAAAACGAAAATGTAAGAATTAAACAACATTTAATAAAAAGCACATGTACAAAACAATAGTAATATTCATGATATTGAGAATTTTAAGCATTATAAATTTAAAATAGTTCAAGTTTCTTTATTCATGATATACATTTAATCACGAAATGTATCAGTCAAGTTGATCTCGGAAGGGTAATCACAAATTAAACCTAATCGATGAAACTGTTGCGGAGCCGGGGAAAAAACTAAAAACAAAATAAATTGAAGTTAATCATTCAAGTGAACGAATTACCTAAGTTAACATATAATTGAAGGCCAGGAATGATGGTGGCAGTTGATATGTGATGTAAGTGTAGTACTGTAAAAGTTTGGATATACGGAAAATTAAGAGCATAACAAAATATCATCAAGCACCTTCCATTAGAAAAGAGAAAAGAAGTGGTAGTTGACCTCAGGTCAAATTCATCTGCATTTGGGGGGACTGGGCATCTTCAAATGAGTTCTCTCAACAAATAAAGTTTTAGATTATAAAGCTGTGTTCAACAGCTGATACTTAAAAGGGAAACCACTATGCTAGTTTTAAGTAAAAACGCACAAGATAAATGTAAATATATCAACTTATGATTTCTAGACCTTTTGTCCGTATGTCCAGTACCCCTATTAGATCGCTTTCCTCTTGAGCAACAAAAGTCACATTAGCAAAGTAGGTACCGGTCTGACGAGGTATGTTACCCATAACCTCAAATGCTATGCGATGGGCACGGTGCTCTGCTGGGTTCTGAACAGCCTTCACTATCCTCAAAAGTTGAGGTTGCTGCTGCTGGAATTTCCCTCCCTACATGTCAATACTCATTACTGGCAGTACAACACAATTAAAAATCTCATAGAAGGAAAAAGAAATACAACACACCTTCATCTCACTATACTCTAAAAGAGCATAAGCTGTACACTTCTAGATCCTTTCATCCTCCTCTTTGTCTTCCAAATCAACTGTGAAGAGAATTTATGTAAAAACAAAATCAGCACACCCACTATAAGATCAATAAACTAATATCAGTGTAAAACAACCAAACACAGTTCTCCCCACAAAAATCACTCAAGTTTACACCACCTCAAAACTACAACAAAACGTCCACCTTGTTGACATGATTTACAAAACTAAGATACTCAAAAACTTTCATAACCACGACACTTGTTTTAATGGACAAGTAACCCGGTTTTAATGGGCAAGTGACTTAGTTGGGGTAAAATAAATTTGTAAGTTTAAAAAATGAAGGAAGTAACTATAAAGAATTTAAGGACTTCGTTTTGGCAAAACGTGTTTTGAAATATATAATACTTTTCTTTTGATCTTTCCTCCGGATGAAAAACATCTGCTTGCATTCCTTGTCATGAACCGAGCAAATATTTTAAGAGCTTATCTTGGTAAGCAAAGGAAAGGCAATCATCACGTGAAAGTTTTTTAGTACTCTAAATCAAGTACAAAATAATAGAAAAGTAACACCCAAAATGTCAAACACATCTTGAAATTAATATAAAATTGATACGGAAATTAAACCAAATTTAAAACTAAACATAAGATGAGAAAAGGCAATTTTCAATTATGAATCCTTAAAAATTTAGAAGATGGCAGAAAACATCACTCGACGCAGATCACATCATCAAGGAGGAAATTTTTTAGAATCAAGAGCATCAACTCTCTTTCCCATTTCATTCTCGTCACCATTAATTTAACTCCTCAACAAACAAACATTTAGGTTTGTTAAAAGGGTAAAAATGTGAATCAAAACTGAAGCACCTAAAAACCATTGATATTAATTATCCCATTAATGTAGGAAGAGTAAATCAAAATTGAAGTACCTATAATGAAACAGTTGGAAGCTCCTTCATTTTTTCTAAACCAAAGAATATCTAAAGCAAAAGCATGGTCAAAATTAGTAGAAAAATCAAAGCAAATACAAGGTCGGCAAAATATGAAAGAAACCCTAGATTATTTCCAGGTCTTTTTTGGTATAGAGATAAGATATTTGTTGATGCGTTTTGACAGCTGATATGTTTTCAAAAGACATACGAAATGGCCAATGGAAGATTTGATTAATAATTACCATTGTATGCAGAGGAAGCGAAGGAGTGGCCAAGATCTCAAAATCTCCTACACAAGAGAAACTTAAATCCTCAAGAGCATATTTAAAATCATCATAAAATAATACAGGTGACAGGTTAAACCTAAAATTACCCCAAAGTTCAACATGATTTTTTTGACACACCCCAAAGCTATGAATTAGAAAATATAGTCAAAAACGTCAATTATTCAAATAAGAAACAAAAATCTTGTCAACAAACAAAAATCAAGCCGGTAAGCGTATTTAAGATAATAGCAACCACATTTTTCAACAAAAAAATTAAAATCTTGTCAATAAACAATAAAATTAAAATTGTCTAAATAGCAAACAAATATTAGTAGATAATATTCTTAGTAACAAAGGGAAAAGGTGATGTCACATGTTCTAAATGTTTTATAGAAAAAGTAATTTGGATGAAACTCAGAATTACAAATGGGAAGTAAACATGAATACTCAATCTAAAAAATAATTAAACAAAATGAACTCAAATTAAAAGTAAATCTAAATTAACAAAGGAATCTTAAATCAGAAGGCTAAGGCAACATAAAATAAAATCATATTAACAGGAATTACATGAAAAAGATGGGTAGTGAAGTTGAACCTCACTAATCCATGAAGCTGCAAATGTAGTTCTATTTGCATCTGCAAAAAAGATAGAATAAGTAAAATATGTTAGCATTTTCATAGTTGCAAAATATGAAGCTAGGAGATTTATAAACTTCAAAATCAAAAGTAAGAGTCAATACAAACTGAATAAGAAAGGTATGTTAGTTTTATTACAACTGATAAATATTTAGTTACAAGACACACAAAACCTCACATACCCACAGAAAAGCAAGCAGGGGAACAAATTAGAAGCAAAAATGAATACAAAGTTAATCTTAAAAGAAACATGTGTGTTTCACATAACAAAGAAAATTCAAACAAAATTATTGGTCATATAAATTCAAATGAAATTTGGTTTTGGTTTAACTTTTTGAAGAAAAAAATACAAAATTCAATGTAGCTCGACGTCTAGACCGGGATATGCAGAGAGATGGTAATCTGGGAATATATTTTCTGAAGCCAAAACCTACAAAAAATACATAACATACAAAACCTAACAACCTCACAAAAAAACACTGTTAGGGGACAACAAAGGTTCAGGTCCAAATGTTATTTCATTTTTCAATTTGCACTCATATTGAATAAAAGCATATCCATACTCGTTGAGGCAAAACACACATACATATCACTTCCTCTCATCCCAAGCTTGTCTAGTTCCTTGCCAGTACTGAAACTGCAAAAAACAAGAATAAATGTGTAAAACCAATCAACCAACAAAAACAATAATTTGTTGTACTGAAAGAATAACAAGATAACAATGACTATGCCCAAGCACCAGTAATACACTAATGCCATTGAAAGCTATTATTCATGTTAGAATAGATATTACCTCCATCTTTTATGGGTCTTACGTTCCCTTTTGGACTGTCCCAAAATAAATCACGTTTTCTATTTTTTGCCAAGTATGTGGCTCATATCATTTTACTTTATTATACTCAAACCTCAACCACGACTTTTACTTTTCAACGGCTTTATAAATAATTGTGTCAAACCAAAACAAGACACACACACAATGGAAAGGAGGGAGTATCTAAGAACTATGCAGTCATATAGATAATGCAGAAAAACAGAGCATTCTTCACTCTTCAGATAAAACCATGTAAAAGATATACTCCCTCCGTCCCGTTGGAATGTTCCCGTATTTCGGATGGGCGGCGAGCGGTGGTTGTTTCGGATGAGCAAAAGCGGTTCCGGATGAGTAGCGCGGTGTTTTCCGATGAACGGAGTCTGATGTCGATTCCGGGTAAGCTGAGACCGTCTGACTGTAGCAAGAGATGATCGGTGGAACTGAGGCAGCGATAGGGGCGGGGAGTTCCATCCAGATCCGGTGGGGTGGAGGAGGTGAGCTGCAACGCCTGAGAGACATTAGATCTATCTTCTCGCTGAGAGCCTTGGGGAGAGTGAAATGAGAAATGAAATTGGAAAAACACCCGCCACTCATTCTTGTAGCGAGAGCAGCAAACGGAGTCTAACCGACAGGAGATGTAGAAACGAAAAATTGCCCAACTTAACTATCTTCCACGCTTTATATATAACCGGATAAGTAGTGTAGAAATAAATATCTTGAAAGCCATGGAATGTGTAGTGAGGTGCTAAGTAGGGCGTTAGGTATTGTTAATGATTTGAACAAATGGTTGAATTGGTTGGGCCAATAATATATTAAAAATACTTGTTTAATTGAAACTCATAACTCTAAGAAAATTACTTGTAAATCGACACAATAATTTACTGATATTGATTGCACAATCGGTATGTGTATACTTGCAAGTAAAATCTAATCAAGAATCTAATTCCGAAATGAATATAGAATAACCCAGTCTGTAAATTAAAAGTTGTCGAGCCTGTCATTTGTAGAATTCCATGATCCAAGTGTTGAGAGCACAACAAAGCTTGCGAAATTCTACGAAACCAGCATTCTTAGCCAGGACCTCAAATTCCTTCTCAGTCCTCTCCCTCCTGGATCATACGCCAGCATGAGGATATCAGTATGAATCACATTCCTTGGCATTAGTGAGGTGTCAGGTTCTTCTGGTATGCATATGATGGACTCCATGATGATCATTTTTCCATTTTATGGAAGCGCTTTGAAGCAGTTCTTCAAGAACTTCAAGCAATGGTCGTCACTCCAATCCTGACAAATCCACTATGGGAAAGCCATAAAAGAAGCTATTGAATTGGACCGGTGCTCCAATCGTGATCATTATGCTAAAAGACTACATTGAATAAATAGAATCCCGGAGGTATTGTTATGTCATCCTAGATTGGTTATATATATAAAAGATACAAACTCATGCATAAAACTTTAAAAATATTACATTTCTTAATTCACACAATGAAAGTATGAGTGTTTTTTAGAAAAGAAAGTATGAGTTAATAAAGTGAAAGTTAAACTTTTGGTGTAACACCCTGACTTTATAGAGTTTAGGGTGATACTCTTGAATGCTCTTCAAACTCAGTACTATCCTCAAAAATAGAAACATGTCTTTACGACTCACTCAATCTAAGATTTCTTCCGCACAATCATACTTCACTCAAAAATCAAAACTTGTGCATGCATTAAAAAACTTTCATTGGGGTCACTCAACCTAAAATTTCTTTCGTACAAGCATACTTAACTCTTAAGTTCTTAGCAAATGAGCGCTCTTAAAAGAATGTGTATCTTGTTTGTATGAGTAGTACCATTGATCTTTTTAACTCCTTAGGTGTTACATTTGAGACATGGTGTTGCAAATACTATATAATAACTTTTTAATGTAGCATACTATTGAAACTCTTTGATAAAAATAACATCGCCTTTTGGTCTCCTCCAATATGTTCCATTCCTGAACAAATTAACAATTTCAGATTCAAAACTTTCATTGATATTTAAGCTAAAAACATTATATGTAAGTGATGTACCATGATAAGGAAGAGCATCATGAATAACATGAGGTAAATCGAAGTTAGTGCCCTTAATGTCAGGATATTTAAAGAGAATCATGTTAAGAGTGGCACCGGTCCCACCGCTGACATCCACGAGTGATCAGACATTCATTGTTGGAAATCTTCTTCGAACAATGAATTGGGTGAATTGTGTTCTTATGTTCGGGCCAATGAATTCTGTTATCTACCCAAAACAATTTTACCCTTGAGGGTTTCTGTGATACGGATTGGGCTGGATGTCCTTTCACCCGACGCTCTAGCTCTGGTTATTTCATCACATTAGGCGACACGTCATATTGGCACAAATCCTGTTTATCATGAGCGCACTAAACATGTTGAGATGGACTGCTATTTTATTCGAGAATGGGTTGCTATCCATGAAATTCAGCCACTTCCTATTTCCACTTAGTACAAAATTGCAGACAGTTTCACCGAGCCTCTTGGATCTGATCATTTTCAATATCTTCGTGGCAAGCTAGGTGTTCATAATAATCTCCACACTCCAGTTTAAGGGCGAGTATTAATGTACAAATATGGTTCCACTATTGCCGCATGATTTAACTGAATATGGAGACCATCCGTTAGGAACTATATGAGGAATTTCCTTTCCATGTGATCATGATTGTCCCAATTATTTTGTTTCCCATTTTAATGTCTTTCCAACTTTAATATTGCTATGCGTGTATAAATGAGTCTCTGCACCCAAGTTATGTATGAACATAAGATCTTCTTCACGGTGATACATGAATTTCATTCTTTTACTATTACATTTTTATTAAAGTGTACATTAACTTAATTCAAACAAATAAAGACTGGAAGAGGACAACTAATGTCATTGTACGATGTCATTAGCTTAGCTTGCTCATTTTTTATTGTTTCACTCTTATTGTGACAATTACAAGTAAATTTAGCGTAAGAGAAAAAGTGAATTAGAACATGGGAAAGTTCCGAAATAAGACTAAAACAGTTTGAAATTTCCAAAATAGGACTGTCATGTTTTTTATTCCCAAAATAGGACTAATTACTGCCATGTTTAGAAAATACTGCCCTGTTTGAAGTCTGGTACTGCCAAAACATGACAGTAATTAGTCCTATTTTGGGAATAAAAACATGACAGTACTATTTTGGAATTTTCAAACTGTTTTAGTCCTATTTTGGGTAATGTATGAAATGATCTAGTGTGTTGACTTGCAGAGTTCCATGATCCAGGTATTGAAAGCACAACAAATTTTGCGAAATTGTATGAAACCAGAACTCTTAGCTAGGTTCTGAAATTCCTTCTCGGTCCTCTCCTTCCCGCCCGGATTATATGCCAACATGAGGACATCACCGTGGATCACATCTCTTGTTGCCAATGTGGTGTCTGGTTCTTCCGGTAAAATACTCTCTGCGATGATAACCTTTCCATTTTCTGGAAGTGCTTCATTGCATTTTTTCAAAAACTTTAGGCAATGCTCGTCGCTCCAATCGTGACAAATCCACTACACAAACCACATAAGAACACAATTCATTCAATTTTAAACATACATGCTCAAACACCTATATGATCACAAAAGTAAAATGTATGCAAAAAAAGTTTTGTGATGGAATTTAAAGTGATTAAATAAATAGAAAGTTCATGAGATCTAATTTTTGAATACTCAAGTTTTGAAATATTATTGATCTAATTGTTGATTGTGAATTGGAAACGGATTTTTCGCGGTATATAGATAATAAATATGGAGAATTCATTAGAACAAACTTTATAGCGTGTCATTACAGTTTTTTTGCTTGGATTGTTTTCGGTTGCAGACCAGACTAGATCAGACCAGAACAAATCAGATCAGACCAGGACAGATCAGATGAGACCATACTTAGACAATTGTGAAATGCACAGAGATCAGACATCTACCAGAGCGGAAAATTTTAGTCCAAGTAAAAACATCATCATTGACAAAGTTATTATAAAGTTAAATATGAAGCAGACTCTTCATACATTCAAATATATTTTAAAAAACTTGATAACATCAATTTTTATAAGTTTTCCTTGCAATGTTACAAACAATATTGATTGACAGAAATGTTACTCCGTACGTACTTTGGAAATTAAAGTGTCAGTACATATAGGTCAGTGATGTTTTTATTTTATTTTTTTTATTTTTATTTTTATTTTTTTGATAATCCAGGTGTCGGGGCTTACGCTCCCATAATCCTGAAGTCTATGAACTACCCTCCAAAGCTCCTAGACAGTTAAGTCCGGATCTAATCACAGTCAGCCTCGTCAGTACTGTCTCCAAAGGACGAATCCAGCAGGACTTACATCACCTTTCAGGCTGCTCCTCCCACCACACGAACCCGCTACCTTCATTACCATCCTCTTCCTTCTCAGCCGCTGAGCAACTCCGTGAAGGTAGGGAGAATCATTGGGAGCAAGACCTCCCTCATCTCCCTTGGTGGGAATTGAACCCAATACCTCCCACAAAGGAGAGACTTGGGGGTGAATGGTCATCCATCGGACTACACCCACCTTCCCTAGATCAGTAATGTTTTTAGTTGCACAAAATAGGAGATTATTTTAACATGTCAAAAGTAGTGACATGCTACCTCCATCACTAACATGATCTCTCATGCCACTGTGAACAATGACACCATTTGCTAGTAACTTTTCAGGAAACTTAAATGTAAACAAATTGGATAACAAACTCGCAACGCCAAACCCTGCTACTTTTTAGAGAGAAATTATGATACGTTCCTAATAGAGGGCATATGGTAGATGTACACAAAATATAAATAAAAAATATCTCCCTTAACTTACTATATTCCTTTGCTAATATAAATAAAGTTGGGAAGTATGCCTATAGAACTAAAACTCATGACAATTCTCAATATATGATTATGCGTGTTTCCTTCCTAATATATGACTAGACACATATGGAATGAAATAAGAAAAAAGAACATCAAATGATATGCATAAATGCTATGTGGCATCATATTAGGAAAAAAGACATAACTCATATTTTGAGAACACACAAATATTTAGTCATATATAAGACAATTTTCTCTATAAAGTTAGTAATACTCCAAGCAATGAATGTATATGTTAGTATGAAAAAGTTAAATTTGAACATCTGAGCTGTCTAATTGACAAACCTCTATAAGCAATTTTCCAATATATGATACTCCTAGCTCCGTCCCACTATGATTCTCACATTTTCTTTTGTCGTCATTCTCGTTAAATTTGTCTAATATTATTAGATAATATTTGTGTGATTCTAATTCATTCTTATTTTATTCACACTTTATCAACTCTACTTTTCTTAAAAATGCACCACCCCTCTTGTTTCAATCTTAGGATGTAATACTTGTGTAGTTTTGTCCTAATGATATGATTCATCTAAACTAAAAACTTACTTTATATTTCTAATTCACATTTATGATGTATATCTTAAATAATATAAAACAATAATACTATATAAGTATATCCCACCTTCATAAAAATGGCATCGCCTTTAGGCACGCTCACAAACATGTCTCCCCCGGTATGCTCAATTCCTGAACAAATTAATTAAAATATGCAATATATATTTGTATTTAAAACGTAAGTTCATAGTTAAGTTCAATTAGAATTGTTAAATAAATCTTGTAGGGTACCCGGAGAAGGAAGAGCATCCTGAATAACATGAGGCAAATCGAAGTTGATGCCCTTAATATTTGGATATTTAGAGAGAATCAAGTTAAGGGTGGCTCCTGTCCCCCCGCCGACATCCACGAGAGTTTTGAGGCCTTCAAATCCCTTGTAACATTCTAGAATCTTCTTCATAATAATGGTAGAAGCATCATACATTGCGTCATTGAAAATCATGTTGAATCTTGGGTTTGTTCCCGGATACTCAAATGCGCTCATTCCATATGCCTTATTGAAAGGTACTCCACCCTCAAGTATTGCTTCTTTGAAGTGATACCTTAAAATTGTAGGTAAACCAATCATGAGACTAATATTAAATAATGGGAAAATAACATTAAATAATACAAACATTCCCATAAATCAATAATAGCTAGTACATACTTTGAAAGTAATTTTTAATAATACCTTCTATTTGAACATATAGTAAAGGGAAAAATATTTTAAATACCCCAAACTTTAGTGAGGTGTGAAATAAGTACCACAAACTTGCATATGTAATACGAAGTACATATACCCCAAACTTTATATAAAAAGTGTTTTTTTCGCACCATGATTGTATGTTTTTTACAAATACAAATTTATTTGAATAATTACATAATTTAAAATACTCTAAGCTTTGTTAGAATACATTTAACATTCTAAAATTTAATTTGTGAAATAAATAATACTACATTTGGTACAATTTAATTTTAATTGCATCCTCACAAATGTTTTGTGTATTTTAAATTATTATGTACTTAATACCATAAAATTATATTTGTGAAAATTAAACATATATGATCATGTTGTTAATATAGCTTTCACTACAAAAAAATTACGGGATTCACACAGAATTTGGCATGGATTTACCGATTTTTCGTGCCAAATAGCTCGTGCCAAAGTATTTTTGGCACGGATTTGGAATTTCCCTGCCAAAATCTCTACCAAATCCCTGTCAAAATCCCTGTCAATCCCGTGGTTTTTGTGTAGTGTTTTATATAAAGTTTGAGTTATATATTACTTATTTGACTCTTTCAAAGTTTGGGATATTTGAATTATAGCATGTCAAATAAGTGACACTATTTCGAGCTACCTTTTATTTGGTTATTCGATATTACTTCCTCCGTTCCATAAAAGTTGCATCATTGAAATTTCTGCACTATTCACACAACTTACTTTGACTACGATTTTCTAATAATATATATAATAAAAATATTATGTATAAAATATTAATAAATTTGTATTAATGTAAATTTTCAATATATTAACTTTTTTTAATGTTTACTAATACATAAATAAATATAATTACACTCAAAGTTGCACGTTGTCAAACTTGAAAGTCAAACTGTTACAACTTTTATGGAACGGAGGATAGTATATTTTTAATTATGCGTACAAGTGTTAAAGTTTCAAGCTAAGTAAGCGTCCACGTATAGAATATTCTATTGTATACTCCCTCTGTCCCAATTTGATATGCAAAATTTCCTTTTTTTGTTGTCCCAAAATAGTTTTCCACTTTCTATTTTAGGTATGTAAATAAGAATAAAGTGAAAAATTTACCCTTACTTTTACTTTTTCCCCATTAACTTAAAGGCATCTACTTTTAGAAAGATGAACAAAAGTGTAAAAAACAAGCATCATTTATTGTCATTTCTTAATCCTTGTGTCGGTCAAAGTTAGCAATTCAATTCGGGACGGAGGGAGTATATGTATACGTGAGGATATTTTATGATGTGATGGGCAATGAACACCATCTTGCATTTGATGTATGTTATTCACTTAATTAATGAATACTTCCTCTATAACATATTTATTGCTCGTGTTTTTAGTTTTTACATGAAAATTAAGGGAATGTAATGGTTCGTTTGAAGTTTAACTTATTTTAAAAAGACAACCAATATCATCAATGTCTACATTTATTTTCTTAGATGAAGTTGTGAAGTTTATTTAGAACAACAATAGAAAAAGAAAGGGGAAAGTTTATTTTTAGTTAGAGGGTATATATAATACGAAAAAGATCATCTCAAGTAGTTCTGATGAAAAGCCTCGTCCGAACTTACCTATTGAAGGGCTTTCTAGGTGGAATTTTTTTATAAATCTTGTTTAGCATGTTCTTCCTTAAGTCTAGTTTATATCAATGAAATTTTAGCTTAAAATTCAATCGAGAAATACGTTAAATAAACACTTCGTTTTTCGTGTACATTTTGGCGCAAGAGTTTTCAATAATTTATTCAACTGTCTTCTGGATTAAATTTTAAGCTGAAATTTGGTGGGCATAAACTAGACGTGAATAAGATAATGCTAAAAAAAATTCATTTAACAATTCCACCGGGATGACCCTCTAATGTGCAAGTTTGGATCAACATTATATATTTCAATGTATGATGGGTATATATCTACTTAATTTTTTACTTCACAAAACCTTTGTAAATCAGGCTCATATTTTAACCCAACATCGATTTTAACAGATTTGAATACTTCAAAATTTTCAAACAAAAAAAATTACTTAAAAAGACATTTCTAATTAAGAATGAAGCAAATTCCGGCCTAGATATAGAGGTTGTCCTATGTAGGGATGTACTCCGTCTTATAGACTCCTTCCGTCCCAATTTACTTAGCCATCTTTGACTTTTGCAGTCAAAGATGGTAAACTTTGACCCATTCTTTATACTCCCTCCGTCCCTAAATTATCTTCAAACTTTCCTTTTTCGTCCGTCCCAAAATTATCTCCTCTTCCCCCTTTTAGCAAAAAATTTGTGGTTCACAACCATTCTTACACATTCTTACACATTTCTCTCTCCTCTGCACAACTCTCCACCACACAAATCCCACTATCTTAATAAATGTGCCCAGCCGAAAAGGGAGAAAGATTAGGGACGGAGGGAGTATATAATATGAAAAAGATCATCTCAAGTAGTTCTGATGAAAAGCCTCGTCCGAACTTACCTATTGAAGGGCTTTCCAGGTGGAATTTTTTGATGAATCTTGTTTAGCATGTTCTTCCTTAAGTCTAGTTTATATCCATGAAATTTTAGCTTAAAATTCAATCGAGAAGTACGTTAAATAAACACTTCGTTTTTCGTGTACATTTTGGCGCAAGAGTTTTCAATAATTTATTTAACCGTCTTCTGGATTAAATTTTAAGCTGAAATTTGGAGGGCATAAACCAGAGGTGAATAAGATAATGCTAAAAAAATCATTTAACAATTCCACCAGGATGGTCCTCTAATGTGCAAGTTTGGATCAACATAATATATTTCAATGTATGATGGGTATATATCTACTTAAATTTTAACTTCACAAAACCTTTGTAAATCAGGCTCATATTTTAAACCAACATCGATTTTAACAGATTTGAATACTTCAAAATTTTCAAACAAAAAAATTACTTAAAAAAACATTTCTAATTAAGAATGAAGCAAACTCGAGCCTAGATATAAAGGTTGTCCTATGTAGGGGTGTACTCCGTCTTATATACTCCCTCCGTCCCAATTTACTTAGTCATCACTTTTCCAGTCAAAGATGGTAAACTTTGATCAATTCTTTATATTTTTTGAAGCAGTGATCCCAACTTTACCGATATTACTAAGCAAAACATATCGATCATAACTGATTGATTGCTAGGAAAACCGGGTAAAGTATCACCATTTATCCAACAAGCTAAAAGTTAATACTCTCTTGAGACGAGACAAATCACTGATTGTGCGATCACTCATACTAACCCGAGGTTAGACAATCTTCGTTTAGATAAGGTTAAGTGTAGAAAGGGATCCATTTAATTAAACTACTCCCACATTAAGTTCAAATTCATAGTCAAAGATTAGATCAAACAGGGACGTACCTAGGGGCAACCTACACTTTGTTCCACTCAATTATTAGGGTAAAAAAATTGGTGTATATTTGTTTTAGGAAAAAAAAACCTTATTGGGACGGAGGGAGTATATAAAACTGCGATGAGAGGTTAATATGCTAAAAATGCATAGAGACTCTGCAAGTACCAGGGCCAGAACCTCACTCTTTATCTGTCAGCTTGTGATTAAAGTCCAATTTACATTTCATCATCATCTAACTGTCCGGTCCGTGTTGGGACTTGGGAGACCCTTAAGGATGGTGTGTGATCCTTTTTTTATTAAATTATAGACCGAAATGAGTCCCAAAAGATTTAATAAAAAATACTCCCTAGCTACTATTATTTCAAACTTTGAGTGTTCGAACTTGCTAATCAAGTCAAGTTGACTGTATACAGTAAAGTCGTATGTTTATTGTTACACGTCAGTATGGAGCTCAGCGACGTTTCAACTTTCAACATATGCTTGCACCGTCGTATCATTGGTAGGTTGAATTGAACCGGTACTAGTTTAGTCAAGTTATTTAATCTACCCGGGAACCCCGCTCTGATCTGATACCATGATGAATCACGGTGATTCAGTCACCAAAGCTCAAGCTATTTAATCTTCAACCCATCCGTATGAAATTAAAGAAAAACTCTGTATTTCAGATGTATTAATAAAAGTAGCTCTTCCAGAAAAATTAAAGTAGTCACTCCCCCGTCCTAATTTGACGATCTCATTTCCTTTGGACACAAGTTTTAATAAAGTGGTTGAAAAGGTAAAAATTGTAGTTGAGATTTGAGTATAATAAAGTGAAATGATATGGATCACATCTTTCTTTCCAAAAAAGAAAACAAGACCATCATTTTGGGACATCCCAAAAAGGAAATACAAGACCACCATTTTGGGACGGAGGTAGTATGTTTTAGTTTGTAAACATAACTTTATTTAATTCTATGTAAAACATAAAACTTGCTTAATTGAGAGTGAAGGGGTAATAAGCATATTTATGCACTTTCTCAATGTTTAATTTTCGAAATAATTACATAAATATGACCAAAATAAAGATGATTTACAAAAATATGACTAGTGACTGCAGTAGTAATGAAATCATAGTAATTCATGTTCAAGTTTTGAGCTTAAGTTACAACACCACCACATTGTAGTAATGAATAGTCATATTTATGTATATACTCCCTCCGTCCCATTTAAATGTTCTCACGCGGTTTACGATGTTTGACTGATCATAAAGTTAACTAATCCCTGTCATTAGTAGAATTATTTTTTAGTAAATAAAATTTACATATTCAAAAACTACATTAAAACCGCTACAAAGTCTGATCAAGAAAATTTAAATTTGATAAAAGTTGGATGTATAAAGTAAAAGATTAAGAAAAATGCACTTTGACCAGAGAATAGTGGACGAGAACCTTTAAATGGGACGGAGAAAGTATGTTTTATTTTACTAATATTCTTGTAAAAAGAAATTAAATCCAGAAGGGTACGTCGAAAAATAAAAATTTAGAGACTGTTGAAGAAAGAAAATGATAAGAAATATAAGTCTTTGCGCTCACAAAATTACCGACTTATTATATTATATTTTACTTCCCGTATAGTTTCCACGATACAAGTATTCTTAACTACCCAACCACGAAAAAAATAAGATTTCTCAAGTTTCACAATGTAATAATACATACATCCCATTATGATTGTCCCATTTTACCTTATTGATCCATCCCATTAAGATTGTCTCATACCAAATTTGGTAAAGTTTGTGTCACTACCTGTTGTCCTAGTGTTAGGGAGGGAGTAGTTTTATTTTGATATCAAATAAACATTCCTAAAGTTTAAAATTTAATTATTATTGTGTTCGCAATAATTGGAGTTCATTATACTAGTACTCCCTCCGTCCCAAAATTATCTTCATAGTTACTATTCACACGGTCAACTCAAATTACTCTTAAACTTTTATTTTAGATATTAAATTTTTATCAAACTTAAATTTTTTTGATCAGCCTTTGTAGCGGATTTAATGTAGTTTCTGAATATGTAAATTTAATTTACTAAAAATAATCTGAGTGTGAACAGGGATCAAGTTGCTTTATCGTCAGTCAAACATCGTAAACCGAACTACGAAAATAAATATGGGACGGAGGGAGTATTACTTATATGGGTGTAACGCACTAACGCGTTAAGACTTTAATTTTGTCTTTACAAAAAGCATATTGATGAGTCAATTCAACTGCTGACTAATTAAGCAATCAATCCACCGATTCACTTATAAGCATAATAAATGGATTAGAATATGAAAAAGCAACAAATGATTATTCTTGGATAACAATGGTTGATTATGAATGAGTATATGGTGGATTATTTGTCTCAATAACTTGGATCCAAATATAATACCGAATATAGATTGATCTAATATGATTTATGAAAGTAGAGAATAGTTCACATGTCTTACTACAAAACAAAATTCTTTGGAATTAATGACTCGAGGTAATTTAGAGGGTTTTATGAATACATACTCCTTAGTATTTTAAAAGCTACATTCATCCCGAAGATGTTTGTCATATTAACTTTTCTTGAACCAATGATGTCATACGTTAGACGACGATCTTAATTATTACGTAATAAGATAATATATTTGTATATAATTTATCAATTTTATACTTTTATGAATGGATATATAATAAGGAACAATTAAACAATATACTTTTATGGTACGGATGGAGTATGAGATAATAATAAAAAAATGGAGAATATGAAAAATATTACTACGTATTATGTGAAGTAAAATGAATAATGATGACCTCTAGGCTCGGGGACGTTATAAACGTAAGTTTCAGGAAAGGCAATTCTGAGCTATATTTTTGTCTATGGATTAATTGATTAAATTAAAATATTATGTTGTACAATTGAACAATTTATTTAAATATTAATAAATTATAAGATAATGTATTGTACCAATTAAAAAATGTAAATATGGTATCTTTATTTATTTATGAGGTACGGAAGACTATTTAGAATCACAAAAAAGAAATTAGATTAATCATATATAGATGTACTCCATTAATTAATTAAATAATTACCAGCTTTCCATGAGGACTTTGTCTTGATTCATGATCACGAGCGGCGCCATGGAAACGCCGTCGGAGTTCTTGGTCAAATATTTGCATACCGGCGCCAAGCTGTAGAGGCGCTCCACCCGGCCGTCGGCGAGGGTCCGGAGAGAGCACTTCAAGACAGAGTAGGTGCAGAGGAGGCGGAGAATCCGGTCCAGCATGACGGCTGCGTCCGGGTTAGTTGTGGGGAGCTGAGCCGCCAGCTCAGAAGGGGACACGGCGGCTCCCGGTCCGGCTCTAGCCATCAGCTCCAGCAGGTCCAGCTCCACCGCTGCTTTCAGCACCATGGGAAGCACTGAAGCGCTGGCTAGCTGCATCGCATACAAGCTGTCAGCCTCCTCGTCTTTCGACTCGGCTCGGCTCCTGAGCTGGTTCTTCTGATCGTCCGTCGACCCCATATTTTTCAAGCTCTTTAGTTTAATTAGATAGGCTGAAGAAGAGGGAAACCCGGTCTGAGAAAAGAGGGAGATCATTTCCTCTCTTATATAGGTGGATTGCGAATTTACGTATTGGCCACTTTGGTTACCTATATACGGCTCGTATTTTATACTAAAACGTCTATATACCAATAATTTTTTAGTTAAAGTTAGGATGCATTTACTCGTATTTTAACTATATTTGTTGATTTGGTGTGTTTTGTTTAAGTATGATATATTCCGGTCTGAATTGGTTTTTCCTTATAAACATCTGATATCTGTGTATTTTATAAATATGAGAGCCTGGTTTGGTCTAGTTTGATCTGAATTGTTCTGATTTATTTAAGTCTTGTCTGGTCTTGTATGGGATTGAAAACTATCTAAGTAAAAACATCCTTAATTTACTATGTAGGTTTACATCATTTAAAAAATATCATAAAGTAGTTAAATGTATAATAGTAACAATGTGTGTGTTTGACATTTAGCATTTAGCAACTAGCGAATAACGGGTTATGTTAGCGGGTTATCAATGTCATATTCAGTTAGCGGGTTTAACTAGCGGAATAAGTTGACGGATTGTCAGAAAATGTTTGATAATTTAGCTGTTCGATCATAAATTTAGTAAAAAACACTATTTTCAAAACGCTAACCCAAAAGTATCTATCCGGGTAATGCTTGAAATGAAAATAGAAGTTTCCATATTTAAAAATAAGAACAAATGTCAGCTTAGTTTTAACGCACTCAAAAACTAAACGAAGTAGGTCCATTACCTATATAAAGGTAAAGCTTAAATGTATTTCATTTAATCATAAAAGTACATGCGTTGTTCTAGAGTATTGCATACAATATGGAGTATGTAATCGGGGTCGATCCTGACAATTTATTGACCCGGAACAAATGTACTAGTATGTCGTAAATATGTATTACAATAGTTTCAATGTCAAAAATAAAATTTGTTACACAAATAAATGTTTTTGTTCATAAAATAACTTGGTATCATAAGTCATACAAAACAATTTTTAGGCATTCTTTTTTTTTGCAAGAATTTTTTAGGCATTCTTAAAAACAAAATTGTCAATAATACTGTCAATTTTTAATTCTCGACTTCTGTGAGGAAGGAAGAAAATCATCTAGTCGTGTTTCGTATATAGCTCTGTGGTTGTGGTTGTGGTTGAGTCTACGAATGTGAGCGTTGAGGGGGTATCTTTTACGGAGTATTAGAGTATAAGGAAATGATATAGTCAAATGTGCCTGACAAAATGATCTGATCGAATTTTTTGATAAAATTTTGTGAACATATTTTTCATAAAGATTAGATATTTACACAAAATATCAGTTTTGAATTCAATTGGGGAGTTACCTATATAAATTATTAAAAAACGTTGCACTTTTTAAACATATATAAAGTACATTGTTTTTCAATAATCTATTTAACAGAATTCCAGATTAAATTTTAGCTGAAATTTTGTGGACCTAATATTAGGGATGGATTCGGGCCGGGCCGGGTCCGGGTCAGGCCTAGGCCCAGGCGGGCCGGCAGTTCAGAATAGGTGGACCCGAGACCGGCCCGAGTAGCCACCGGGTCCGGGCCGGGCTGGACCAGGCCTCGTGCTTGGGTAAATTTTTTATTTTTTATTTATTACCTACCTATCCCTGACCCCCTCTCACCCCCACCCCCCAAACCCCCCCAAACCCCTCCTAAACATCAAGCCCAACCCGGGTGGAGCCCAAAAAATGAAAAAACCAAAAAAAAAAATCAATTTGGCCCGAACCGGGCCCGAGCGGGCCAGGCCTCCTTTTTACCGACCCGAGCCCGTCCCGCTCATCTTCTATAACCGGGCCATAGACCGGTTTTGGGCCCGAAGAACCCGGGCTGGTCCGGTCCCGCACAGTAGCGGGCCGGGTGGCCCGAACCGAGTCCAACACTACCTAATATACACTTAATGAAAAACATGCTCACAAACTTTCATCAAACCATTTCATCCGGAAGCATTTCAAATGGGTTTGACCGTACAAAACTCCCGATCAAACGCACCTGAGGTGAACGAGACTCTCTCTCTCTCTCTCTCTCTCTCTCTCTCTCTCTCTCTCTCTCTCTCTCTCTCTCTCTCTCTCTCTCTCTATATATATATATATATATATATATATATATATATATATATATATATATATATATATATATATATATATATATATATATATATACTAGCACTATATAATTTATGGGCTCCTCTTGCTGGTGGACCCTGGGCAGCCGCCCATCCCGCCCCTATATCAGGACCGGCCCAGTATGTAATAGTTTCAGTCTTATTTACTCAGACTTCTCTAATCTTATTCCTTACCAGGGTAAAAAAGAATCTAAAGAATACTTACAAAAATGTTGTTTGTGACCACCCTTATACTCACTTTTATACTCATCATTTTTGTGTAAGGCTTTTTTTGTCTGTGAGTCGCGTTCACAGACAAAATATGTCTACGCAAATTTTGCACAGAATTCACTGTTTCTGTGGACCGAATTGACTGACAAAAAAACCTTAATAGACATGGTGATTGAATATTTAACAGTGCACTCTTTCAAGGGAAGGATGCGCTTTTATTTTAGCAGAATCAATACAAAATGTCACAATGTATATCATAATGTCATCATGTTTCGACTTTTGACTTGAATAATTGGCCATACTCTTGCATTTTATCAAATCAGAAATCAAAATTTAGTATTAATGTTTCATAGCTCTTTTCATTTATGTCAAACTTCATACTCCCTCCTTCACACAACATAATGTTAAATTTCCCCCTTTAGTGTTTCCAAAACTTTTGTCCGTTCCACTTACAGTAATAAATACTCCCTCCGGTTCCAAATGATCTTGACACTTTGACTTCACAATTTTTAAGGAAATAAACATTGTTTGACACTATTTTGTGTAGATTTATTTGCCAAATAAGGCAAATAAGGAAGTGTAAAGATCTTTCTGGTATTACTAAAAATGGAAAGTGTAAAGATCTTTCAAAACCGGAGGGAGTAAGTGATTAAAATTATTCTCACTCTTCTTTACATATAGTAATCATACAACATTCATTTTATTATTCCACCTAGAAGTCAAAATTTACCTTGAAATTCTAGAAATTGAGAGCACCTCGAATTCTAGGCACACCTTATTTGTAGGAAATATAGGGTTAGATATGCATATACATAATTCAATAACTTTTTCCCGTGCTCTCTAACCTACTAATATTATAGCATATGGAGTATGTTTGGACTATGTGACCTCTTTGGGAGTGTGACACTAATGTCATCCATGTTTGGTGAAAATTCAATAATATTAAACTTCATTTAACTAGAGTTTCAAGTAAAACAAAGATACTAAATAAAACATATTCTGTATAATTTTTTTGAAGTTAATCAGTAACTGAAAAGTTGTACTTAGCATTATAACTTCACTTTTTATGTACGGAGTAGTGTTTAATTTATAATCACTCTTTTAGTATCCTGTGGTCTGAACTTGGGGCGTACTGCAATCACCCCAGGCCTCGTTTCATCGTAACGGTACCTGGATAGCAAGCCCAAAAACATTAACCTACATACAGTTTCTTATGGGACTTTTTGCTCAGCGATTAGAATTATAATCTCCTATACGAATAAGAAACATATACAAATCAAAATTTGAAACCAGTTGAAAGTTTACCCATTTTCAGCTAAAAAGCTTCTGATGGCTATAGGAAGTGCAGCTTCTCCCCGGCTGTGATTACCTTTTCCTGTGACAACATGTAATGCAACATTAGTCCATCTATTGCATCTGTCCATGAGCCTTCACATATATGGTGTGTGTGAAATTTAGCGGTTAAAGCATAGCGGATTATTTTAGCGGGTTGCAAATAGCGGATTCAGTTGTTGTTGGACTAATGGAATCGGTTGTCGGGTTTTAAAAAGATTTAGGTAATATAGCTGTTTGGCCATAGCAATTAGTACAAAATGTCATATTTCAAAACGCTAACATAAAATGCTGCTATTTGCAGCGGTTCCATTTCAACGATGTCCAAAAACGCTAGGGCTAAATAACTACTCCTTTCGTCCCCCAATTAAGTTCCCCCTTTCCTTTTTGGGTAGTCCCTAAATTAAGTTCCCCTTTCCTTATTTGGCAAATTAACTACATCAAAACCGTGTAAAACAGTGTCTAAACAGTGTCAAAACAGTAAAGTTTACCCCCATTAACTTTTTTCCTTGATAAGTGTGAAAAGCGATGGGGAACTTAATTGGGGGACGGAGGGAGTATTTACAAACAACAATTTCACTTATTGAAAAAGCTAAGAGTCAAACTGGCATTTTTTTTTACTAAAACGTCATTTTCCAAACACCCCGTAATGAACAAAGAAAATGGGAACAATTCAAACAGATGAATGTGCCAAGAGTAAAATTGGATCATAGCAGAATGTGGTTCAAATAATTACCGCATAAAGTAAAATTCAGCATTGATTGGCTACTCTCTTTGCCATGATATACACCACAAAGTATTGGACACTTGAACTAAACCATATATACAATAACACAACATTCAAACCTTATTACTAAAAGAGTTTGGGGTCAATTAACATGAATTTGAAATCAAAGCTAGTAAAATAAAAAAGATAGGATTTGATAAAAGATAAGGTAAAAATGATATAAAAGATAAGATAAAAAAGAAAAAAAGATAAAGAACATAAGGATGAAAAAAATAAAGAAGATGAAATGAGATCAATCTTTCAAACGAATCATTTTCATTTTCATTTACCCCAGTGTCGCAAAGGCTCCCACCTACGGTGGGGTAAGGGGGGGTCGGATGTACGCAGTCTTACCCCTGTACTAAAGCACAGAGAGAATGTTTTCGGATGACCCATAGTGAAAATCCTGTCCATTTGGCTCCATTGCAAATGATGGAAAGTACTACCTCCGTCACCGTAACATTGGAACATGAGGAGGTGGTGTGCTTATTAAGAAAAATGGATTTATGTGATTTGTAATTGATATTGAATTGATAAAATATCAATAAAGTAAGAATGATTTAGAATCACACAAACTTTACCAATATGGTATGAGACAATCTTAGTGGGGCTGACGGAAAAAGAAAGATGAAACGGTCTTAGAGAGACGGAGCGAGTATGACATACTGAATTCCGCAAAAATTGCAGTACAATACCTGTAATGACCTGAAGGATAGAGGGTCTCTGTTTGGAAGGCTGTTGTTGCCTCTTCGCTGAAGTCTCTCTGTCCAAACAATTAGAATACCCAGGTTTCAGAGTGGACTCAAAGCCATGTTTTGCTCTTACTTCTCTTGGATATATGGAGTGATCGAACGAAACTCGGCATTCAATCCTTTTCAGGTGTTTTTCCAAGGCTTCAACTGCTTCTGTTGAATGAAGACCATGCAAGTCCAGAGTCCACTCATCGTTTTTACTGTTCCTAATGCTCAAAATTTCCTTTGCTGCTTTTGTGTTTAGCTCCCCAGCAGCTAACCATTCTTCTTGAGCTTTCGCTGAAAAATAATGGGCAGTTAAATGATCTCCTCTTAAATAGGCATCACTGGCTGACTTGGAATGCCGAGCAGCTGATCTGTACATTGAAAGAAAGGAAATTTAAGAATAAATTTGAAGTACATTACAACAACAACATTACCCTGGTGCCACAAAGGCTACCACCTATGGTGGGGTTCGGATGTACACAGTCGGATGTACTAAACCACACATAGATTACTTCCGGATAACCAATGATGAAAATAACGTCGAAAATTGCATGGAACGGTTGTTGCTTCATAACAAAGAAGCACAGACAGTTTAGTGAGCTATTTTGCTTTATTTCATTATATTCCCAAAACAAAAAATAGTGAGTCTTTGATTTTATTGGAAATTATGGAAATAACAAATTTAAAGTACATTACATTGTAAATTTTGTAATGCATGCAAACTGATCCATACGATGCGTAGTTTTTTTAACAAATGCTATCAACAATATTACAAATGTCACATTCTCATCCTTGAATAGAAAAAGTAAAATAAAAAATAATCCAACAGTAGATTAAATGTCCCTCCAAAGTATTTACGTTCCAGGTAGGAGCTAATCTCTAGTAGCAGTCCCTGTCCAATTTATAACCAATGGAGTGTAAACAGAAGGACAAATTAAAGTACCAGAACTTTATAAAGGCTAGTAATGCAATCAGGCAGTAACATTTTCAAAATAAAATATATTTTTCAAAAAACAAGATACCACCCACCTCATCATCCTTAGAGCATCCTTTCTTTGTAATGAGTATACATCATCTTCTTCCCATAACTCAGGTTCAATTGGTACAAATCTAAAAACACCAAGGCGTGCATTGACCAAATCTGTGCTACTGGCATTCACACGCTTATTTATATCGTTGTTGAAATCTTCCACGTTCATGTCCTCTCCTAATGAAACATCATTGGGGTGTTCGCTTTTTATGTGTTTCTCTTCGCTAGTCTCAGGTCTCTTAGATTCTGAATCCTCATGCAACACAAGTGTCTGATCCAGAGAAACCATTGCTCCCAATAACATTACAGCCTGATCAAACTCATAATTTACCCCAGCCATAACATCTTTGATCAGGCCTTCATCTGCCCACGAGTAAAGCTTCTTTATTTTTTTATACAAATCAACATCGTCCCCCTTTTTGGAAGCAATGTTGAGCTGGCTGGAATTCAAATGTCCAACACTTAGTTGATTATTTTTAGAGCCTATATTTTGCTCCAACGATGGAAAACTTGGAGAAGGTAAAATGACTGAAGAAAAAGGTTTGTCCAATATAGTACAGGTATTCTTTGCCTCATAGGAGGGCTGGGTTGAGAGAGTATTAGAGAGCGATATAGGAGGGAAAGGGTCACTTTCAAGCTGGGGCTCAATCCCTTGTTGTTTCTGTCTTTCCTTTTCGACAAATGCAGTCCAACCAGAAGTCTTTGCCCTCAAAGAGGGCATCCTTTTATGCATAGGGTTTTTTGCACTAGCAGAAGCAGCCATCTTCAGGAGCACAGAGAAGATGTGCAAATCATTCTTGTATAGCACCCGTGGCCACTTCTGATGCTCCCCCTTTCACACCCAAAATTTCTTTAATAGACAACCGCAATAAAATTTTGTAGCCTACATAAGAAACACACCCAAAAAGAAAGCATAAAAACTAAAGGCAATAGCTTATACTAGTATTAAATTAACTGAAGCTAACGATAAATCAAAAACATTCTACGGTTAAATAATTTTATTCACCTTTAAGTGATAAATGGGACTAAGCCATGAAACATTCAAAACCTTAATCACTTTATCTCAATTGTAAGGTATTTTTAACAAATTTTAAGGAGTAACACCTCGCAAAAAAAAATTAAGGAGTAACATATATTGGTTAGCAAATTTTTTAAGAATAACAAAAGAACCAAACTTCCCATATATGACAATACAAATACTTCTCTTACTTCAAATACATTAAAATCCTAAAAAACAGAAAAGCTCTCGACTTGCATTACCTGCTTGATTTCTTTCCTTTAAAATCCGGAGAACAGAAAATTATGAACTGAATATTAAGGAATGCAAAACCGGAGGTCTCTCATCCAAGGCGTCGATGAAGCCGGTGAAATTAACAAAATCTTATTGGGCGGCTGAGATGAAAGCAATAGCGGTTGGAATTCGATCACGGATACAGGGGATGAAGATGATGAGCATGTAAAAGATGAAGAACTTGTGCAACCCATAAACGCTAAATCAATTTCTTTCGTGGGTTTGATTGAACAAATCCAATCAAAGAGATGCTGCGGAAGACAGATAAGAAGGACACGGTGGAGCTGTGGAGGTCGTGAAAGGGCCTTAGGGGGTTCTAATACGTACTACTCCGTACGTTGTAATTTTGCTGGGTGTATTTCATCCACAATTTTTGACGTGTACAGTCCCTCAATTCCTATACTCTTTGCCTTAATTAATTACGGACCACGCAATGCTATACACTCAGGCCTTATTAGTTGTTTGAGTTTTGCCAAGGTATATTTTGACTTTGCGCGTTTTAGTTTATATCAGACTTTTCATTCCATTTTTAAAACTCTTAGACTTTGCACCATATTTTCCCTAAAATGTCTTTGCCTTTGCACCCCATTCAGGAATTTTTCTTCACAAAATGTTGTAGATAGGGTGCAGAGTCTAAAAGTTTTGAAAATGAGGTGCAAAGTCCAATATCACTCAAGAAGTGGGGTGCAAACTCAAAATTCCCCTTTTGTTAAAGGTGTCTCATTTTTACTTCATCCCTAATGTGTGGTAATAAATGGACCAATTCATTTAAATGGTACCCCACTTAAATAAATTGTCTCATTTATTGCCACACAATAGAGGATGGGATAAAAATGTGGTACATTTTGGGGTACCTTTAACAATTTTTTTTTTTACGTTTGAAACGAGTTTTTTCTAGAATAGTGCAAAATAAAAAATTATTTATGAAATTAAAAACGGATTAAAACTATTTATCAAAATATGGTTGGATCTACAAGTGGAGTGAAGATTTACAAGTCCTCAATGGGTTTGACGTCTCTGCGTAATACGGGAAGAAGCCCCAAGGGAAGGGAGAGACCATTCATGGGCCAATGTTTATTGTTTAAAAATCACTTTTTACGGTCTACTAGTATAACATTTTAGTTTTTGTTCAATTTTTATAAAAAATATATCAAAAATCATTACTTTTTATTATCTTTCATTTGATATCAATATTGAATATGTAAATTTTAAAAAAATGAAAGCTTATTAAACAATTTTTTTTTCCAATTTGCATAACAATAAAAGCTAAGTACGGGATAGATATCACAAGGTTTCGCCTGCCTTTGAATTCTAGCATTGTGAAATTACAGGGGGAAGTGGTCAAGAGGTTGAAGTTGGAGGAGGGAACCTATGAGATCAAGTATCTAGACGATATATTTAAAGAAATAATTTATATTATACTTCGTATGAAGAAACTAAAGATAGGGAATGAAGATATGAGTAAACTATATTTATGCTCAAATTTTATATTATTGCGTCTATAAAAGTGTACTCATAATTAATTTAGAGTCTGTTTGATGGTCATATCTTTTGACTTATTAGGCTTACTAGTTAACTTTTCATGAAACATGTAACTATTGATTTCGCGCGTTAAATTGTGTAAAAATTAAAATAAGTAAAGTTGTAGTTACTCTTGTAGCTGAATTGTTGAATTTACTACAGATGACCCTTTTAGTTATTTTTCATATAACTTTTTATTTATATTTGAAAATTTTGGCCGATTTCGCTGAATTATTAAAAGATATATCTAAAATATATTTTATAAAGCCAGAAAATTAACAAAGTTATTCAACAGTTCAACAATTAGAGAAATTTATATGAAAATAACTAAAATGATCACCTATAGTAAATTCAACAATTCAGTCAGAAAAGTATCTACAATCTTACTTATTTGGATTTTCACAGAATTCAATGCGTGAAATCAATAGTTGCATGTTTCATTAAAAGTTAACTAGTAAACCTAATAAGTTAAAAGATATGGTCACACTTTTATGAGTACACTTTTATAGCCACACTAAAATAAAATTTAAACAAAATTATAGTTTCTAAAAATTACCAAGTCACGTCTTCATCCCTTATCTTTAGTTTCTTCATATAATAGGAATTATTTCTTTATATAATATGAAATGAAATAATTCATATGGAAATTGGAAAACAAGAAAATTGTTTAACAACCCTTCATTTTTTTAAAAAATTACATATTCAATATTAGTGTCATGTGAAAGATAATAAAAAGTTATGAATTTTGATATATCTTTTATAAAAATTGGAGCAAAAACTAAAAAGTCATAAACCTTTAAAAATGTACTGTTTTTTTGTTTGTAAAAATACACGCTTAAAACGAAAAATAATGTCGGTCCATTTAAAAAGGGAAAAAAATCCTACTTTCAGTATAAAACGTATTTTTCTCGTATTTTATGAAAAATAGAAACATGAATTGATCAATTGAATGAATGCATTAAATGAAAAGGAGATCAACAATAGTTTAAAAGGAAAAAGGAAAAACTCTTCTATGTGACCCCGTGTTTTTGTATTGTTACAATACAATTATTAAATATTACAATTAACTGCATGACAGTTAAAAATAACATTCTAAAAGACTAAAACTTAAAATACTACAATTAATTGCATAGCAGCTAAAACATATCAAAATTCAAGTTAATCTAAACCTAACATTTTTTAGTATAAACTTTTACACATCAACAATAATAAGTGTAGGAGTCGTACAACTTTTCTCATATGTCATTCGTCATCTTAATGAAAATGATCAATTTAACTTGAGTTTTATTTGATGATCATATAAAGATAATGATTTTAACTTAATCTCATTCTGATGTTATTATGACTTATTTGTTGACATTAGTTTGCAAAATTATGTCTTGGACTGAATTACTATTTTCATGTTTGTCCACTGGTGCAAAATTACCTTTTTGCGGCGCTTAAATCACCCAACGTGCGGCGCTTTTAGGCGCCGCAAATCTCGGTGTCGCAATTTAACGCGTGCGGCGCTTAATTTCAAAAATGAATTTCTATTGCAGGTAATAAGTTGGTAAAATGGATAGATTCATTGCATTTAAAAATTCAGCATGTTTATATGATACCTTTTTTATCTGCTTTCGTTTCTTCTGAATGGATATTTAATTTCCGCTGTCACAGGAAGGTGTAGCTAGGAAAGTATCAGACTGTATTCAGTTACTTCACACTGATGCATTAATTAAATAGGTAAGATGGTCAAGCATATTAATGAACACTGCTCGTGTTTATAAGTCCGATTCCCTGGTTTTGTTTTGTTAATGACGTCTACTTTATGGTATACTAATACTAGTAGGTGATTAATGCAGGAGCATGAACAATTACTTATAGATGCTATTTTAGGACTTGGTGATATATCTGATGGTGAGAGTGGTGTATTTCAGGACTCACTTAAACTATATTTATTTATTCAAAGTTGTGATCAAAGTATGTATTATCAGTTTATCACCATATGTGTTCATAGACTGAGGACCTACTTCCTTGGTATACTATTATTCTGTTAGCAAATTCTGCCTTGCTAATTCAGAAAATGGTCTATCTTTAAAAATGAGACAATTACATCCTTATATCATCATGCCTATCTTTTTGTAATTAGCAGGTCGAGAAAAACAGTTCCATTTCTTATTGTTTGATCATAGGTTGTTCCCACAGTGCTATTCAGGTAATTGTAGATCCCTTAAAGTTCATTTCAACCGTTTTATTGGGTTCAAATATTTGAAGTGTTTTATCAAGCCCTTCAAAGTTCATTTCAAGCCGGAAGGTGTTGCTATATTAGTGTAGAACTTTGAAGTGAAAATTTGGTTTTATCAGATAATTTTTTTCCTTCATGTGCCCTATATTATTTAAGTGCATATAAACTTTGATCGAAGAGTTTTATTAGGCTCTGTATTAAATGAATTTACATGCCATCTTATATTGACATGACTCCAAGTTCTTGAAATGACAGGCAAAAGCAATACTTTGAGCAAAGAAAACTAAAACACCGGCATACTCAGGCAGATCTGGAGAAGTACTATGGAAGTAGCCCATATTTTTTTTTACTCCGGAAGTAGCCAATATAATCAGCAACATGAAAATAGTACAGCTATGGAACGTTTTACACTTCAGTTACTTTGATTATGGTCCTTATCACTTTTTTTATAGTTAGTTTGAGAATATTGATTGAACACGCAACTAGTTTCACTGTAATTAACTGTCTCTTTAATGATTGTTTATGTATATTGCATATGAATTTTGCATTTGATAGTAATTTCTTGATAAATGTCTATTTAATCACGAAATATTGAAGGTGTTACTCCCTCTCCAAACTATCAGACCAGGTTGTGTCCTCAAACTGCTCAGGCCAATGAAGTTACTCAAATTAGTCCCCTTAGGATCAACCCAGAAGGTGTTGCTTCCACAATCGGTATGAAGTAGTGTTATCAGCATGTTCCATGTAATTGTTTGTAATTTGAATCCAATTGAATAATGATTCAGTGTGCTTGCAGAAAGTCCAGCATGTGATCTTGTTGATACTGTATGTCCAAGAAAGTAAGTATAATGAGCTTCAAACTTTGAAGTATTGAATTATCTAATTCATTGATTTCATTTGTATACATAGATAGCATTAGTGGAATACTTATTGGCAGCACATCTGAGTGATTGTATCTACCACCTTGAGGTTATCTAACTTGTGAGGGATATTGTTTGATATATCTGCTTCTTCACACACTTGCATTTGCTTGCTGTTTTCATGGAGATGCATCATTCCTTTCCTTCACATTAACGGTACTTCTACAAACTACTCTTTTTATTTCTATTTTCCCATCATTTTTTCCCTTCACATAAACCAATTGTTGAGTTCCTGTTAGTTTTCCAGTTGGTGCACCTGAATCTCAGCGGAAAAAGGTGAAGGGTGATTGGAACACCTTAAATCAATCGATGATGTCAACAGAGCACCGTGAGTAATTGTGTTAGCGGTCTACTTTCTTGAGTTGAACTTTCCTCTATAGATATTTTATTTTACTTGCTTTTAGCATTAGGAAAAGGTTCATGAATAGAGCGTTCTATTGTATTATGGATTTACAATATTGTACTTGACATATGTAGAGCATTTTTACTGGTTATTTTTTATCATGAACAAGTTTGGGTATGAACATGTTTACTTTTCAAACAGGTTCAAATGCATAGATTTGGAAGGAAATGGGATTCTGACAAAGAATGAAATGCAATTCTTTTATGAGGAACATGTCGACACAAAAAATGCTTTTTGTTGTAGT